TATTTTTACATATATATATATATATATATATATATATACATGTTTCAGTGTAGTTTCTAAATCTTCATAACCTTTTCTATGGCAAATATGGACAGTGTTGCATCCAGGAAACCAAGTCCTGAACTCAACGAGAACACCACGAAGCAGATGAGAAGGATCTTCATTCTGGTACACAATCTGAGGAAGGAATTCTGGGAAGAAGGAACAGCATCTATATTGGAATGAAATAAACAGACACGTCTATCTTCATGGCTGGAGGGCAAACAATAACAAAAGCAGACACAAGGCAATCACATCCTTGTGACAACTTAACCAGGAGTATGCTACATGGAATAGTCTTAAATTGAATTATTAAAAACATGTCATATTTAACCAGTATGAAGTCTGCACAAACCAAAGCTTGGTAAAATCCACAAATTGAGAGGCACTGTCGCAAACAGAAGACATCCTGTGAAAACGAATGGGATTTCATATCCAAATGACTGATAGAGCCAGCCGCCCAACGGAGGACCCAATATCAGGCCAAGACCTGTAAAAATCTCCATGAAGCCCTGAGAGAACAAGATAGCACTGATTACAGCTTTACTGTAGAGACACATTTAACATTTTCGCACACTTGTGTAAATATTAAAACCATAAGAATGGTTCCATCATTGTGTATGCCTTGACCGTGAGAAACCAAACAACCAGTCAGACTGAATAACTGAATCTATAGAGAAACAGCACATCTTTTGTGACGTGCAATAGTGCTTCCTTTGCCACTTTACTACAGTAACACCATTACTGCACTGAAAAACAAGCACTGACCACAACGCACCAAAACAGTCGCTATGCTCTCGGGGAAAACTTTTGCTGAAACTGCAAAAGACGATGTAACGGCGGCGGAAAAGCCGATTGCATTTATGCACCGTGTGATAAAACAGAGCACGACGAAAACTGTCCCATCAGACACTTGGTCAAGAAATCTGCAGAAGAAATGATATAATTAATGATGAAATACTAAAAATTAGTGTTACATGAGTTTTCCTCTATTTTTCCAGACTAGAAAGGTAATTTTTTCAACATTTAGGCATAATCTAGCATGTAAATGACCTGAAAGTTAATAGTCATGGCCTAAAAGATGCTAAATACTCATATAAATGTTTAACACACAACAAAACAACACAGATTTACTGACCCGAAGAGTACAGTACATCCGCTCGATACGAACAACCCTGCAACGATCATAAACTTGGCTCCTATCTGGACAATCTGAAACAGAGGTCAAGTGCACTGATATAGTGTGCAATCCATAATGGAAAGCTGTTGTTTATCTTCTGAAATAATGATTAACTTACATATTTACCAAGTAACAATGAGCCCACTAAAGTACATAATGCATAGATTCCGAATATTAAACCAATCATAGCTTGACTGACACCTTTCTTCTTTGCCTAGAAAATGAATCAGATCAAAAGTAATACATTATTTTATCCTACTGTAAGAAACTTTAAATGCCTTAGAGTACTTAGAACAAACTATGTTACATTTCATATTGTTGACTATCCCTGTTGAAAAAAAAAAACAGCATACGCTGGTTAGGTATGTTTTGACGCTGGGATGCTGGTTTAAGCTGGTCCTTTGCTGGTTTTATGCTGGTCATGTGTTGGCAAAGAACCAGCAAAAGGACCAGCATAAACCAGCAAAGACCAGCTTAAACCAGCAAAGGACCAGCTTAAACCAGCAAAGGACCAGCATAAACAAGCAAAGGACCAGCATAAACCAGCAAAGGACCAGCATAAACAAGCAAAGGACCAGCATAAACCAGCAAAGGACCAGCATAAACAAGCAAAGGACCAGCATAAACCAGCAAAGGACCAGCATAAACAAGCAAAGGACCAGCATAAACCAGCAAAGGACCAGCATAAACAAGCAAAGGACCAGCATAAACCAGCAAAGGACCAGCATAAACAAGCAAAGGACCAGCATAAACCAGCAAAGGACCAGCATAAACAAGCAAAGGACCAGCATAAACCAGCAAAGGACCAGCATAAACAAGCAAAGGACCAGCATAAACCAGCAAAGGACCAGCATAAACAAGCAAAGGACCAGCATAAACCAGCAAAGGACCAGCATAAACAAGCAAAGGACCAGCATAAACCAGCAAAGGACCAGCATAAACAAGCAAAGGACCAGCATAAACCAGCAAAGGACCAGCATAAACAAGCAAAGGACCAGCATAAACCAGCAAAGGACCAGCATAAACAAGCAAAGGACCAGCATAAACCAGCAAAGGACCAGCATAAACAAGCAAAGGACCAGCATAAACCAGCAAATTTTTTTTACAGTGTACACATCTGACTCTAATGGACCCTTTTCACAGACTGTTTTCACAGATAGTTATTAAAATCACAAATTTAGTTTAGTAGTTTAGTTTATTTCTAGTTTAGTTTTTTTTTTTTTCATCATTTATAGCACTATACTTTGTGTTTTCTTACCTTGGCATTAAATTACAGAAAACTGTTTAACGCTGCTGTGTGAGTGTTTCTAATACAAAGGCTGAGGGAGTGATGGCAAATTTGACATCTATCTCACATCCTTTTCCTGTTTTGGAAAGTCATAGAAATGCTATCATGGATCTTTTTTCTTTTGATATTGGGGCAAATGAGAAAAAAAATTATATATATATATATATATATATATATAGTTTCCATTTTCCACTACAGAAGTTTACCCAACTATGACGACTTCAGGAACCACACAAATGTGAAAAGGGTCCATATTAGGTGAAATACTCAATTTCAATTCAAAATTCAATGTTATATAAGCATTTTCTCTCACATCTTCCATCATGTATAAATATTTTCAACAATCTCTGTCACAATGCATTCTGGGATCACCTAATTTGCGAAGGACACATGCACCAAAATGTACAAGACAGCATAATTACATTATATTCCTTCCTTTTCAAACAACCTCTGTGACCGAAGTGCCTGTGATGTCTAAAATGCTAATTTACCTTCGATCTGAAAAGTCTGGTTAATTAGGAACAAAGTCCTAATTGCAAAAACTGCTAATCGTAAGGTTCTAATCGTCTAATCTACCACATAACCCAATTTAAGCAACTCCAGACGGAGCGAGCAACTGGCGTAAAAGCTCTAAACCATTAGTAACAGAATGGACAAACAATTCTGTTTTAATTGAATTTATGTGCTTCAGAGTCACATCACATTCTCCTAATCGAACCCCAGCCAGTCTTTGTCTTCAGAGCGCACCGTCTGCTTTTAAGAGACAGACAGCGAAGTTGAGACTAGAGCTAATTATACATCCCTATGTGAGGAATTCCTGCACAATCAGTTTATTCAGAGGGGGAACATCTTCCCATATGATTAATTAGGCGCTAGTGTGTGTGGATGAAATGGAAACCAATACAAATCAAAGTCTTGATCTCATTGACAGTAAAGGCAGATATGCTCATATATACAGTATACTGCCTTTAGGAGTCTTATCTTCAAACAAAGAACACTACAGACACGACACACCCAGCATCGTTTGACGGGGCTGATGGGATTTGCAGGATCTCACCACTTGCAGCTTATTAGTGCAGTCCACTATGTGGGCATATTTTAATGTCTTCTTCAGCAGATGAGGTTCAAGATAGGCTGTTTGGTCATTAAAAATGCATCCATCTCAATTAGGTGATGAGTTTGGTGATTTCCCACTCAATATCCATTACATCCACTCAAATCAAGACAACAGATACTCACACACACCTCACAGGTGTTCTGCATGTGTGTTTTGGTGAGACAAGGTCTTCCCATATTTCTGAGCAATTCTGAGCTAAACAAAGACTAGATAATTACAATGAAGGTTAAAGTTACCATGAAGCAAAGTAGCGACAGATCTTTTCTTCTGTATTGTGACGTACAGCCGAGTGAAATGGATAAGAAAGATGCATTTAGAAATTTAGACCATTTTCATGTACACATTAAGGTTCTTTCAAAGAACAAAACGTATTCATACAAGTTAAGCTCGATCGACAGCATCTGTTATAGAAAATAATGTTAAAATCATTTTTGTCCAGATTTATTATTCAAAAATGTAATTCATGAATGACACCTCTTCTATAATGAGCATGTTTTTCATTTCTGAATTCAAGTTTATTTTGGTATTTTTGAGGGGCATAAAGTCAAAAATGAGAGTGATACAAGTGTCCTTATAATAATGCAGAAAAAAAACAAGCAGGAAAAAAATGAAGATATAATGAGAAGACCCTCATGGCCATGTGTCAAGGTCTTTTAAAATATCAGATAATTTGACCTGACATGGGAAGGTTAGTTCAGGTTATAAAATGTCACATGCTACTACCCAGCCCCTCTAAATAAATAAATAACTAATTATACTGTATAATTAACATTTTGTGATATTTATAAAAAAAATTGCTTCTAATAAATTATTTATTTGTTTTCAAAATAATGATGTGTACACTCTTCAAAATTATAAATGTCAACATGAAACTAGTGTGATAAAATCACTTACGGCCCTTGTCTGTGACTGTGCGGGTTTAATATGACAGTTTAAATCTGGTAAAACCAGTAAATTGAAATATTTTGTATAAATAATTTAAAATCATCCAGAGCGCTTTTTGTTTTATTATCGGAGGGAAGAGTGTGTGGTAACTGACATAATTGTAACTTAACTTGTTATAAACCCCAGAACATCCCAGACCCCAAACTACTAAATGTCAGGCATAACTGTAACACACACCTCAGCTCTTCTGGTGCGCCTGGACTCGTGACATCTCCACTGTCAATCTGTCTCCCTCACAAGCTGCTCTCAGATTGTCAGTATTATTATCTAGCGTCCTGTCACTGTTGACAAGTGATGATGCTTCCTGTGCGTTGAGTTTACAGCACACCCCCTCTCACCTGTCTGTCTTTCTCGGTCTTGGAGGGACTCTTAATAAAGTAAAATACTGCTGTAGGGAACACTGCAGCAATTAGTTGACAGTAAATGTTCACACCAAAACACAGTTTTGATATTTTTGCAGTGAAGGTAAAGGGTCTCGCAGCAGGCGGGTGGGGCTGGTGAACGCTGGCAAAGTGCAGACAAGCCAGAGGAAAGATTTGAAGAGCAATTGCAGACCGAGCACACTAAAAACCTCAATATCATCTCTAAAGGAGGTATGCTTTTATTGTGGGCCGTAAAATGCAATCGATCACCTATGCTGAGCTTAGAGTCACGAGTTAAATGAATTTACACAACACGTTTGGTTCTCCGAAGGCTTCATTTTCAGATCTGCCGGTTTGTTGCATTAGGGGTGAGAAATGCTGTTAAGTAAATAAGATCCTAAATAAGATGTCACGAACAAACAAAGCAGCATGGGAAATGTTGAATTCGAGGCACAGAGGACCACATAGCTCTTCTTTACTGTGCAAACAATCCAATAAAATCATCCACACAACCAGCAATTACGCACATATATGACACCCCCTGCCAAACCAATAAAACTACAGGGGGTTTGACAAGCACCGTAACGCTTTGGTGTGTATTATGAATGACAATCTGCATCAAACCGGCCCAGGAGGGTTGTATATGTCGTATATATGTCCTCACTGAGACCCCGCTGAACCCTGAGATTCAGCGGCCCACTTCTCGAAAATGCTTGCCACTGCACCGCAGGCCCCGCCACACACATACTGTGATTTATGAGCGTCTGTCAGAGCTAATACGGCCTGTTTTACATGCTCCCTACCAAGCAAAAGCAGAGCCAGACTCATCCGCTAGCGTTCCCATTCTCTCTTTCTGCCACAATGGCACCACTAAATAACAGACAATGCACTTGCCTCTGAAACATTGAATGTATGGAGCACAGCTGCATGACTGATCTGCATAAAATGCATTTGTAGGCGGATACAGAGCTGTCTGGAAGAGAAAAGGCAGACATATTGCATGCTTTACGTCGCATGTCTTCCTGGTTAGTCACGTCTCTATAACTACTCTTTATTGGTCAGGCATCTGAAGTGTCGTTAAAAAAATGCAGATGAGGTGTTTAATGGTCAATTGCAGCGCTGGGATTCTCAGAAGTAATTCTTCAGAATCAAGAATGGAAGATAGAAAGAAATGTGTATTATTTTGTCTATTATTGCTGTATAACTGTACATTGTGAATACTGTTAGGCTACTATTACAAATTGCTTGTGTTTTTCTATTTTAAAGGAATAGTTCACCCCAAAATGAAAATTTGCAGAATGAAGGCATTTTAACTTTAAACCATCACTTCTAGCCAAAACAGTCCTTCCACTGTTGTCCTCTCACATCAAAATGTGTGCATATTTCTCTCCTGATTTAAAAAGATGACTTTATCACTGGAGCAAGCAATATTTTGGATAGAGGACTCATATTTTTGCCAGAAGCAACGGTTTAAAGCTAAAATGTCTTAATGATAAATTTGTTGATTACAAACACACAGCTTTTATCTTTATGTTATTGTGATGTTTTAATCAGCTGTTTGAACTCTCATTCTGACGGCACCCATTCACTGCAGAGGATGCATTGGTGAGTAGGTTGTACTGTAAAATTTCTCTAAATCTGTTCAGATGAAGAAACAAACACTTTAATATCTTGGATGGCCTGATGGAGAGTAAATTTTCAGCAAATTTTCATTTTTGGATGAACTATTTCCTCTATTCCTTCTAGGATAAAAGCATCTGTTAAATGCATAAATGTATATTCTGAGATGTGGAGACAAGAAGAAAAACATTTTTGAGTTCATATTAAGATCAATGACTCTGGAATCATGGCAAACCAGTTTGAGAAATTTTAGAGATCTCATCTGAAACTCACACGTTAGATCACAGGGGTCTTTTGATCAAAGGATAAAAAAAAAAATCGAAAGTCTCAGTTTATTCTCAGTGCTGTCTAGGAGAACATCTGAGATATAAAGAGATCTCATTTGTCATTTTTCTCTCTGAAAACAAACAATTCATAATAAACACCCACTAAACCTACACTACACCAGCTATCTGGTATTGCATAAACACTACATTACACATAGCCATTATATTCAAAACATGCCTCCACAAACACAACAACTTGCAAGGACAAAACCTCTGAATGAGAAGACAGGATTAAACACACAGTATCCATCACACCTTACAGGAGTTGTGCAAATCTGTGGTCTATATGTCACTGCCAGTGCTGCTTCATTAAGAGCCCTAATGATAATGTTAATTAGTGGTTTCTCATCCACAACCACTGAGTCAAATATATGCATCAGCCAATGAGGAACGAGGGAAGATGTGTATTATGTACCATGAAGTGTTTACAGTGCACATACAAGCTTGTATTCACACAAACATTAATGAAACTCTGTAATGCAGATAGACACTATTATATAATGCATTTACAAAGTATATTACAATCATCTCCACAATTTCAGGCAAAATATGACCCAATTTTAAGTGCATCTGCACAATTATTTCTATGTACTATACTATGTATAAGCATATTATATAATTCCAAATATGATATTACCTTAAAAGGTATTCATGAAAGTGCATACTATGAATAAAGTGAATAAAATACCTACAGTACATGAAATAGTAACTGAATAGGATTCATTGTTCTGCTATTGTTCTTCAGTTAACGTTATGCTGACATCTACTGGATGGCAGCAATTTGGATGTTGTTTCAACAATTAGCAGGTGTAAACCTTTTTCAAAAAGAATGTGATGGGGGGGAAACTCACTCATTTCTCGTCCAACGTTGAGTTTTTATAGACTTAACAGGTGTGATTGTTTGTCCAGTTTAAACACATTTATCTGAAAAGAGGAGGCAAGTAGGCTAACGCACGAGCACCACGCTGTGCTTGGCGTCCTCCAACAGCCCATTTAACCACTGGTGGCCACTAGAGGACGTTCATTAAAATAATTAATAATATTATAAAATAATAATTTATAATATAAGTCAAGAGATGAATGTTTCTGTACAAAATAAATTACACGCATTCATTCCCCAAACGTGAATTCTTAAGACCTTCTTTGCTAACAAGTTGCTAAATACGGACTACAACTACCACAAGGATGTGAGTTTATGTGCTTGACGCATCAGACGTCGGTTGTAGGCCATTTACATAAATTTACAAATTTAACCTAAACTGAAATTGGTTGGCGCTTTTTAAATAAACTTAGCTTATAAACTTATAAACAAATAACATTTGATGTGTTTAAAACTAGACTTTTCATGCTAGTTCAATTTTATGGTACAAAATAATCTGTAAAAGCCAGAGTGTACCATGTTCCAAGGTGAATATAATATTTTTGTAAGTATATAAACCTAATTCAAACATTATTTGATTTTAGATAGTAGAAACTTTAAAGGCAGGATTTCAAATATACTGTAACTGGTAGTTTCAATCTTTCTGACATGAAAAACTTAGTATTGGAAGACAAAAGAGAAGCACTTTGTTTGGAGATGTTTTCAATGTTTATTGATATACAAATGAAAATATCAATGTAAACTTGTAGCAAAATACTAGGAATATAGAAATTATAGAAAGAAATTTTAAAATCAAACACAGTGACAAAAATTTGTAAACATTGTCAAATGGAAATTAAATATGTGGACAAGCAAGTGTATAAACAAACACTGAGGTTCAAACATGTGAGCGATAATGTACAGTAGAGCAGCTGTTGACGTAAAAAAAAATGACTAGCAAAGCATGTTCTATGATAAATAAATAAATATGGCATGTCTTATTTCTGAATAAGTGACTGGGAAGTCATCAAACAATTCACCATACCCTGCTACCACATTTATTTTACAATACTGTTTCATTAGTTGATTGTGGGTAGTTTGTAAGGCAAACCAAGAGGGTAAATTCAAACAAATTCTTTATATTCTACACTCCTAAACAAACATCATCTGCACCATGAAAACCACCCTTTAAGGAAATGCACTCAAACTATATTAAGATTGTTTCTTAAAAGTGAATTCCGCCAAAGTGTTGACAGTTGTTTTTGCCTACAGGCCTAAATTCATCCAGCTCAGTGCCAGCAGCAAGACAGAGGCGACGCTGAGAGATTCAGCACCCAAAGCGGCTTTACCTGAACATAATACAAAACAGTGGTAAGAAAGATCAGCATGAACATCGGTTACATTTGTGGAACTGCATCTATGCATCTAGAACTATGTGAAAGGTATTTCAATTCCTTTAGTGAATATATACTTTAAATTATGCAGAACTTCAGATATCATTTTGTCATTACCATCAACATGATTAGGGTAGGACAATGATGAATGAGGTGGATAAAAAATGAAATCCTTACTGATTAGTAAAAGACAGTATTCACCTTGCACTCTGATCTGTGATATGGGTCCATCACCTCCCTCACATCGGGCTCGGACCTCTATGACGTAATCGTCTGTCTCTGGCATGGGAAAGTCGATGTAGTGTCTGCCCGTGGTGTAAAGCTTCCCATAACGCTCTCCTTCCCTCCTGAACAAAATCTGAAAGAAAAATACAAATGGTTATACATGCAATATTTCCAAAGCATCAATACACACTCAAAAAAGTAAATAACTAAATAAAGAATGAATTAAAGACATTATAAGTATAAATAGTATAAATGATCAATTTAAATAAGGATATTAAAATAAAATAAAATAGTAATCAAATAATATTAAATAAAATAGCATAAATAATAAAATAAAATATAGTATAAAAGATTAATTAAAATAAAGGCATTAAAAAGGTTCCAGAAATACAATTTAAATAAGGATATTTAAAAAAATCATAAATAAAATAAACATTAAGATTAACAAGACATTAATGAATGTGTCTCTCAAGTCTTTTGTCAACAGAACACTAAGTAAAATATAACTGACTCACCTTGTATCCCTCCACATATGACTCATTCCAGTAGTTATAGATGTGATCCCAATATAGATAGAGCCATTTGCGATTAAAGCTGACATATTTGTAGACTCTCAAATGGCGACTTGGGGCTGGAAAGATAATACACATATATTATCAGTACGTTTAAGGTCCCTCAAGCCTCTCATTTCAAATGCAAGGTCTGTATAAACCCATAATCTGGGCAAGTGATCTAGAGAAGTGCAAATCTCTTACGTGGTCTCCTGGTGAACATTTCACAATGCTCGCTGGGTGGCCCGAGCCCAGCTCCGTTGAACGCTCGTACCTCTATGAGGTAGTGGGAGTCAGGCCGCATGTTCTCCAGGCGTGTTTGGTTAATTGTTCTATGCACAAGGACTCGAGAGGCAGCAGCCTCATTATCATCGTACTTCCTCCAGTAACGAATCTGGACACCAAATGAAGAGACATGAGGATCAAAATTCATTATTATCCCTTACTATTCCACTTAGGACTCACCTGGTATCCGTCGACCCAGTTTGGCGGTGCCTGGTAGACCGGTAACCACCAGACCAAAGCTTCTGTAGCGGTGACCTGGCGGGCGTAGACATCTAATGGAGCTTCAGTCGGTGCTAGGAGAGATAATACATGTGTCAAAAAAAATGCATGTGTCTAAATCTCAATTAAGAGCAAAAAAAAAATGTATTAATAAAACACATTAATAAAATAAAGGATGAATTAAAACAATGACAATAAAATAAGGTCTTAGTAATGAAATAAAATAAAATTATAATAAAAAATAAAATTATAAAAAATTATAATATATTTTTATTATTTTATGTATTTATATATATTTTTTTATTATTATTGTATTATAATATTTATAACAAAAATTATTATAAATTAAAATAAGGGTATTAATATAAGGTTCCAGTAATAAAAAATAAAATAAAATAGAAAAGACTCATAAATAAAATAAAATAAGAGTAAAATAATGTTCCAGTATTTAAAGATAATGTTCCAGTAAATAAAATAATCTCTCTTTACTCAAAAAATTACAATAAATAAATAGAAATACATCTCACCTAGCCTTGGTGAGTAGACCACTGATATAAGACTTGAGGGTCCTTCTCCTTTGTTATTGTAGGTGTTCACTTTGACCTGTATCTCAGTGTCTGGGGTCATGCTCTCTTTGTAGACGTAGCGTCTAGTCTCGGGATCCTCCACAGTCGCCCATTTCCATTCATAATCCTCATGCTGCTTAAACGCCACGACGTAGCCAAATTTTTTACCAAAGAAGAACTGAGGCTTTACAGGCTGCAATGAAATTAAGGACATGAAAGACATCACAAATTTGCCACTGACCTCTTCTCAACAAATATAGCATAAATACAGTAGCATATGAACATCACATACACTCCAGGTCACGATGAGCTCTCCGCTTATTCCAACTTGCCCCAGTACGTCAGAAGGAGCTACTGTAGGCCCTGCGACACGAGAAACACTGGGTGAGAATATATGTGCTATATAGTTTTATATACACATATACATTCATTATATACAAAATGTTTTTTAGAAGCATTATGATTTTTATTCATATAAATTAAATATGTTTTTGTAATAACTGAATATCTATTTTATTAATTTATTTGAAATGTAATTAATTAAATATAAATATTAAACACTGAAAGCTGTGCTTTTCTAAATAAACTCACTGGCGTCCCATGTCTTGATTTTGATGGACGGACGGCTGTTTTCCCCAGCTCCAAATTCATTGATGGCATGCACACGGAATTCATATTGCATCCAGGGGTAAAGGTCAACTATGGTGGCTGACTCTGTAGATCCGTCCAAAAACACAGGAGCTGGGAAAACAATATTTGTTCTCTTAAAAATTCACTTCATAAAAAAATGAAAATCCTGGGTAACCAAACAGTTGTCGGGAGCCATTGACTTCCATATGATTTTTTTCCCATTCTGTGGAAGTCAATGGCTACCGGCAGCTGTTTGGTTATCAACATTCTTCAAAATATCTTTTTTTGTGTTCAGCAAAAGAAAAAAACTCATACAGATTTGGGACAACTTGAGGGTGAATAAATGATGTCAAAATTTTCATTTTTGGGTGGACTATCCCTTTAAGTTTGCAGAACATGATCACAAGAGCAAAATACTAACTAAACACTAAGATTGAAGAATATATTAAGTTCTTCACAAGATCTTATTCCTAAATGTGACAAAAAAAGTCCAATCAAGTTAAATGAATTCTATTCTAAAATACAACAAACATTTGTACAAAAAACATTCATTATTATTTTTCAGACCAGTTTTTTAAGAAAAAATATGTTTTGTCTCCCTCTATTAGACTCACAGGTGGATGCGGTTTTCCAGTCCTCAGGATCCAGGGCGTAAAAGTCTCGTGTTTGGACAACATGTTGGATAAGAGGACTACTGTGGTCTGATCCCAGACTCCATCGTAGTTTTACTGTCGTGTCTCCAATCTCTTCCACACGGACGCCACCTGGAGGACCAGGCAGACCTGAAGCGAAAACAGTCGGCAATGTCATGATGGTTATATTTGCGTCAAGTCTATTTGATTTATGCAGTGAAACAATACGAGTGGTTAGTTGTTGAACAAACTAAACATCACTGCATTGTTTTTAATACAGTTATGTACAAGTTTTTTGATCATATGCACATATCAGAGGCATTATGTTAATAAGCTAGGACACCAACCTTTGACAAAAACATCAGCTTCTGCGGTGGCATTGTCCACTATGCTCTGAGCTGTGCAGGAATAGTGTCCTGCGTGCCTCACCTGAATGTTCTTGATCAGCAGGTCTCCGCTGTTCTCGTGACCCTGCAACAACACACACACAAACAGTGAAATTAGTTGTCTTCCTGAGAACAGAATGCCTGAGATTCCTGTCTCTACTCACATTGAGCAGCTCGTAGTGTTCAAAGTCTGTGTAGAAGTTGATGACGTAGGAATCAACAGTCCAGATAAAGGTGATGTCCAGGCTGGGATCATATGATGCAGAGCACTGGAGAATTGTAGTGTCACCTACAACCGCCTCAGTGTCTGATGGAGCCACTATGATTTTGGTGGCCTCTGAGAAAATGAAACGGACACAAATGCATACACCTCATATTACCTCATATTAACTATTTATAAAAATGAAAAAGACCAGTTACAAAACCTATGATAAACACACATACACACATAAATTCAGATCAATTTTAACCTCGTTATGTTGATTACAAAAAAGTAAAAAATAATGTTGAAACTACCCATATGCACTATTCAGTTCATTAATAATTTTATTTACAAGATAATGTCAATTAATTTTAGTTTTAATTAATTAATCAATTATGGTAAAATAAAAATAAATAACAACACTTCAGTGGACATATTTCTAATAATTATTATACATTAATAAAATAAAAAATTTGCTATTGTCTAAACTGGTATAAATAAAATAAAATAAAATAATACAAAGGTGGTATTGTCTGAACTGGTATAAATAATTTTAAATAAAATAAAATCAAGTTGTTATTGTCTAAATTTAAATTAAATTAAATTATTAAATTAAATTAAATTAAATTAAATTAAATTAAATTAAATTAAATTAAATTAAATTAAATTAAATTAAATTAAATTAAATTAAATTAAATTAAATTAAATTAAATTAAATTAAATTAAATTAAATTAAATTAAATTAAATTAAATTAAATTAAATTAAATTAAATTAAATTAAATTAAATTAAATTAAATTAAATTAAATTAAATTAAATTAAATTAAATTAAATTAAATTAAATTAAATTAAATTAAATTAAATTAAATTAAATTAAATTAAATTAAATTAAATTAAATTAAATTAAATTAAATTAAATTAAATTAAATTAAATTAAATTAAATTAAATTAAATTAAATTAAATTAAATTAAATTAAATTAAATTAAATGAACATCGGTTACATTTGTGGAACTGCATCTATGCATCTAGAACTATGTGAAAGGTATTTCAATTCCTTTAGTGAATATATACTTTAAATTATGCAGAACTTCAGATATCATTTTGTCATTACCATCAACATGATTAGGGTAGGACAATGATGAATGAGGTGGATAAAAAATGAAATCCTTACTGATTAGTAAAAGACAGTATTCACCTTGCACTCTGATCTGTGATATGGGTCCATCACCTCCCTCACATCGGGCTCGGACCTCTATGACGTAATCGTCTGTCTCTGGCATGGGAAAGTCGATGTAGTGTCTGCCCGTGGTGTAAAGCTTCCCATAACGCTCTCCTTCCCTCCTGAACAAAATCTGAAAGAAAAATACAAATGGTTATACATGCAATATTTCCAAAGCATCAATACACACTCAAAAAAGTAAATAACTAAATAAAGAATGAATTAAAGACATTATAAGTATAAATAGTATAAATGATCAATTTAAATAAGGATATTAAAATAAAATAAAATAGTAATCAAATAATATTAAATAAAATAGCATAAATAATAAAATAAAATATAGTATAAAAGATTAATTAAAATAAAGGCATTAAAAAGGTTCCAGAAATACAATTTAAATAAGGATATTTAAAAAAATCATAAATAAAATAAACATTAAGATTAACAAGACATTAATGAATGTGTCTCTCAAGTCTTTTGTCAACAGAACACTAAGTAAAATATAACTGACTCACCTTGTATCCCTCCACATATGACTCATTCCAGTAGTTATAGATGTGATCCCAATATAGATAGAGCCATTTGCGATTAAAGCTGACATATTTGTAGACTCTCAAATGGCGACTTGGGGCTGGAAAGATAATACACATATATTATCAGTACGTTTAAGGTCCCTCAAGCCTCTCATTTCAAATGCAAGGTCTGTATAAACCCATAATCTGGGCAAGTGATCTAGAGAAGTGCAAATCTCTTACGTGGTCTCCTGGTGAACATTTCACAATGCTCGCTGGGTGGCCCGAGCCCAGCTCCGTTGAACGCTCGTACCTCTATGAGGTAGTGGGAGTCAGGCCGCATGTTCTCCAGGCGTGTTTGGTTAATTGTTCTATGCACAAGGACTCGAGAGGCAGCAGCCTCATTATCATCGTACTTCCTCCAGTAACGAATCTGGACACCAAATGAAGAGACATGAGGATCAAAATTCATTATTATCCCTTACTATTCCACTTAGGACTCACCTGGTATCCGTCGACCCAGTTTGGCGGTGCCTGGTAGACCGGTAACCACCAGACCAAAGCTTCTGTAGCGGTGACCTGGCGGGCGTAGACATCTAATGGAGCTTCAGTCGGTGCTAGGAGAGATAATACATGTGTCAAAAAAAATGCATGTGTCTAAATCTCAATTAAGAGCAAAAAAAAAATGTATTAATAAAACACATTAATAAAATAAAGGATGAATTAAAACAATGACAATAAAATAAGGTCTTAGTAATGAAATAAAATAAAATTATAATAAAAAATAAAATTATAAAAAATTATAATATATTTTTATTATTTTATGTATTTATATATATTTTTTTATTATTATTGTATTATAATATTTATAACAAAAATTATTATAAATTAAAATAAGGGTATTAATATAAGGTTCCAGTAATAAAAAATAAAATAAAATAGAAAAGACTCATAAATAAAATAAAATAAGAGTAAAATAATGTTCCAGTATTTAAAGATAATGTTCCAGTAAATAAAATAATCTCTCTTTACTCAAAAAATTACAATAAATAAATAGAAATACATCTCACCTAGCCTTGGTGAGTAGACCACTGATATAAGACTTGAGGGTCCTTCTCCTTTGTTATTGTAGGTGTTCACTTTGACCTGTATCTCAGTGTCTGGGGTCATGCTCTCTTTGTAGACGTAGCGTCTAGTCTCGGGATCCTCCACAGTCGCCCATTTCCATTCATAATCCTCATGCTGCTTAAACGCCACGACGTAGCCAAATTTTTTACCAAAGAAGAACTGAGGCTTTACAGGCTGCAATGAAATTAAGGACATGAAAGACATCACAAATTTGCCACTGACCTCTTCTCAACAAATATAGCATAAATACAGTAGCATATGAACATCACATACACTCCAGGTCACGATGAGCTCTCCGCTTATTCCAACTTGCCCCAGTACGTCAGAAGGAGCTACTGTAGGCCCTGCGACACGAGAAACACTGGGTGAGAATATATGTGCTATATAGTTTTATATACACATATACATTCATTATATACAAAATGTTTTTTAGAAGCATTATGATTTTTATTCATATAAATTAAATATGTTTTTGTAATAACTGAATATCTATTTTATTAATTTATTTGAAATGTAATTAATTAAATATAAATATTAAACACTGAAAGCTGTGCTTTTCTAAATAAACTCACTGGCGTCCCATGTCTTGATTTTGATGGACGGACGGCTGTTTTCCCCAGCTCCAAATTCATTGATGGCATGCACACGGAATTCATATTGCATCCAGGGGTAAAGGTCAACTATGGTGGCTGACTCTGTAGATCCGTCCAAAAACACAGGAGCTGGGAAAACAATATTTGTTCTCTTAAAAATTCACTTCATAAAAAAATGAAAATCCTGGGTAACCAAACAGTTGTCGGGAGCCATTGACTTCCATATGATTTTTTTCCCATTCTGTGGAAGTCAATGGCTACCGGCAGCTGTTTGGTTATCAACATTCTTCAAAATATCTTTTTTTGTGTTCAGCAAAAGAAAAAAACTCATACAGATTTGGGACAACTTGAGGGTGAATAAATGATGTCAAAATTTTCATTTTTGGGTGGACTATCCCTTTAAGTTTGCAGAACATGATCACAAGAGCAAAATACTAACTAAACACTAAGATTGAAGAATATATTAAGTTCTTCACAAGATCTTATTCCTAAATGTGACAAAAAAAGTCCAATCAAGTTAAATGAATTCTATTCTAAAATACAACAAACATTTGTACAAAAAACATTCATTATTATTTTTCAGACCAGTTTTTTAAGAAAAAATATGTTTTGTCTCCCTCTATTAGACTCACAGGTGGATGCGGTTTTCCAGTCCTCAGGATCCAGGGCGTAAAAGTCTCGTGTTTGGACAACATGTTGGATAAGAGGACTACTGTGGTCTGATCCCAGACTCCATCGTAGTTTTACTGTCGTGTCTCCAATCTCTTCCACACGGACGCCACCTGGAGGACCAGGCAGACCTGAAGCGAAAACAGTCGGCAATGTCATGATGGTTATATTTGCGTCAAGTCTATTTGATTTATGCAGTGAAACAATACGAGTGGTTAGTTGTTGAACAAACTAAACATCACTGCATTGTTTTTAATACAGTTATGTACAAGTTTTTTGATCATATGCACATATCAGAGGCATTATGTTAATAAGCTAGGACACCAACCTTTGACAAAAACATCAGCTTCTGCGGTGGCATTGTCCACTATGCTCTGAGCTGTGCAGGAATAGTGTCCTGCGTGCCTCACCTGAATGTTCTTGATCAGCAGGTCTCCGCTGTTCTCGTGACCCTGCAACAACACACACACAAACAGTGAAATTAGTTGTCTTCCTGAGAACAGAATGCCTGAGATTCCTGTCTCTACTCACATTGAGCAGCTCGTAGTGTTCAAAGTCTGTGTAGAAGTTGATGACGTAGGAATCAACAGTCCAGATAAAGGTGATGTCCAGGCTGGGATCATATGATGCAGAGCACTGGAGAATTGTAGTGTCACCTACAACCGCCTCAGTGTCTGATGGAGCCACTATGATTTTGGTGGCCTCTGAGAAAATGAAACGGACACAAATGCATACACCTCATATTACCTCATATTAACTATTTATAAAAATGAAAAAGACCAGTTACAAAACCTATGATAAACACACATACACACATAAATTCAGATCAATTTTAACCTCGTTATGTTGATTACAAAAAAGTAAAAAATAATGTTGAAACTACCCATATGCACTATTCAGTTCATTAATAATTTTATTTACAAGATAATGTCAATTAATTTTAGTTTTAATTAATTAATCAATTATGGTAAAATAAAAATAAATAACAACACTTCAGTGGACATATTTCTAATAATTATTATACATTAATAAAATAAAAAATTTGCTATTGTCTAAACTGGTATAAATAAAATAAAATAAAATAATACAAAGGTGGTATTGCCTGAAATGGTATAAATAATTTTAAATAAAATAAAATAAAGTTGTTATTGTCTAAAATAAAATAAAATAAAATAATACAAAGGTGGTATTGTCTGAACTGGTATAAATAATTTTAAATAAAATAAAATCAAGTTGTTATTGTCTAAATTTAAATTAAATTAAATTATTAAATTAAATTAAATTAAATTAAATTAAATTAAATTAAATTAAATTAAATTAAATTAAATTAAATTAAATTAAATTAAATTAAATTAAATTAAATTAAATTAAATTAAATTAAATTAAATTAAAATTAAATTAAATTAAATTAAACGGACAATCAGTATAGGTGAGGAAACTAGAATTTTGTCTGACCGGTGATAGTGAGAGTCCCTGTGCTGTTGGATTTGCCACGGTCATTCTCAGCATAGCATGTGTACGAGCCCTCGTCACTTTTTGACACGTTCAGAATCTCCAGACTTCCATCATCCCAAATTAACATCCTGAAAAATAAGGATAAAGAGAGAAGAGGATGAAGATAACTGTAACTAAGCTTCTATCTCTGCCACAACATTATGATTTACCTGTAAGTAAATGCATGCGTTTAAGATCGACTGACTAACCTTGAAGAGTTGGCCAGCAGCTCTGAGCCTCGTTTCCAGATGAACTTGGGTTTAGGAGCAGCGCGGGGTTTGCACTCTATAACCACACGTCCGTTTTCAGCCCCGAGCAAAATCTTCTTCACTGGATTATAAATGAATGTTGGTGCACAGGCTGTGAAGAGACCATTGAAGACACTCAACCTTCAGCAATAATTATGTACCTTTTTGAAGACACTTCTAGAAAAGAGCAGCTCTTTTTTTCTATGTAAGCTATACTTTACAAGCGTAAAGAAGTATTTAAAAGCTCACAGACAACCCGAAGCTCCGCGCTGGCATAGATGGTCCCCCATTCATTCTCAGCAATACACTGATACATGCCCGAATCCTCAAATGTGAGACTGGAGAACTTCAGCTCCCCTTTGCCGTACTAAAAAAAGAGGAAAAATGCAACAGAACACACATGATTACTTGATTTAAAACAATCTGAGGTTCTCATATGGGTCTTCCTTAACAAATAAAACAGTGTATTAACCGAATAGCCATCCTTCAGCCAGCGTATCCACGGTAAAGGCTTCCCCACGGCAACACACCTGAGAGTGAGTTCGCTACCAACATCTTTCTCTGTGTCATTGATGTGCTCAGCCCACTCTGGAGCACCTGAGGAGACAATCACATGCACACAGTCTTGAGTTGGTACTACATTTGCATTTAAACTTACACTGTGACTGTTAAGTATGTTCTATATACTGTAGGATGACCATGGGTTGTAGGAATGAAATTTGGATGTACTACATCCGCCATGTTGTTACTGTCACGTGACCTACCAGTGTCAGTTGTGCCACTTCACTGGCATTAAAAAAATCCTCTCCTGTGGCCTCATGGGATAGTAAAGTATCCATCGTATGTGCAATGCAGAATTTCAGGTAGTTCATCTGGGTACTTTTTTCCTACTGTTTTTTTTTTTGTTTTTTTTTAATACTATGAATTAGGCGTACTATTTTAGTGTACAATTTTTTGCATACTATATAGTAGGGAAGTATTTGATTTTGGACGCAGCATTTTTTTTTTAAGAAAATTATAGTTTTATTCAGCAAGGATGCATTAAATTAATCAAAAGTGACATGAAAGATATCTATAATGTTACAAAAGATCAAATAAATACTGTTCTTTGAACTTTCAATTCATCAAAGAATCTTAAAAAAATGGATCACAGTTTCCAAAAAAATTAATAAAGCAGCTCAACTGTTTTCAACATTAATAATAATAAGAAGAAATGTTGTTTAGCACCAAATCAGCATATTAGAATAATTTCTGATGGATCATGGGACACTAAAAAAATTGAGTAATGGCTGCTGAAAATTCAGCTTTACCATCAAGAATAAAATATATTAATACAAATTTTAAATTGTAATATTTCACAATATTAGTGTTTTTATTGTATTTTATATCAAATAAATGCAGCCTAGGTGAGCATATAAGAGATTTCTTTCAAAAAAACTAAAAATCTTACCAATCACAAATTATAATATAATATGTTTTATTATTTTTATTATTATAAGCCGTATATAAACAGAACTAAACCAGAGCGTCTGTCTTTTAAACTTTTTGTTTTTAGAGTTTGTTTTACCTTCCACATAGAGCCACTGTCGATACCAGTCCATCCCTTTAACGTTGAGCGTCTCACACTCGTAGCTCCCTTCATCCTCGTACTGAACGTTAATCAGGTGCAGTAAAGCTCCATTCATGCTGACCTCATAGCTGGGTGGGAGATCAGCATCTAATTTCCTCCAGCGGATGTGTGGGAGCGGACTGAAAGGTAAAATTGAGTTTATATGGTTAAAAACAACCAAAAATGAGTGAAGAACAAATCTAATACTATTGTGTGAATGACTATGATTCACTAACACAAAAAGTATGGTTGTATTTCTATGTTTATTGGACATGTACCATGATTATACCCTCATATTCTTTGAAATACTTCAGGATAGCCTGTTAAGACCATAGTAAATGAATAGTGTATTCCTTCAGTACCATTGTATTTTGAAGTACCATGGCATCAGTACCATGCAGACTATATGGACAGCATCTGCATTTGTTGACTCACTTTCCAAGGGCAAAGCACTCCAGAGTGATGTTCTGATGCACCAAAGCATAAGTCTTGGGAAATTTCACACGGATATCAGCGGGATACCGCTTCACCTCCTCTGTGCAAAGGGCAGAGATGAAAAGGTAGGTCATTAATTGACCTTTAAAAACAACAGTGGTCTCAGTAAGGCAATTATGAGCAAAACTCTTGGCATTGTGGGTAATTTTATAGCGCTCACTCTCTACTTGTGGAATCAGAGAAATCGGCATGCTGAAAACACTCTTGCCGATGGTGGGGCTTGACACGAAACAAGAATAATTCCCAACATCAGATGCCTCGACTTTAGCGATGTACAGATTGCCAGTGGTCTGTGACACGAAACGCCTCTGGTCTGGTATGATGAAGTTGGGGAAGTCGTTGTAGATCCAGCGGAACATCACCTCACCTGAGAGACAAAAACAATTGACAGAAATCAGATTTCGGTTGCTGGAAGGAAAGTGGATCTTTTTGATTAAAGCACTTTCTTTTACTATGTACCTCTATGATTGTTGGTTATCATGCACTCTGAAAAAAAAAAGGTACAAAAGCTGTCACTGGGACAGTACCCTTTCAAAACATTCACCTTTGGACCTTATTTAACCCTAAAGTGTGCAATTTAGTACCCAAATAGTACATCTTAGCACCTTTTGAAAAGTGACAACTTTTTGTACCTTTTTTTCTGAGAGTGTTGTATTTGTATGTATTGTTAAAATAACTTGATAACACTCTACAATAAAGTTTAATTAGTTAACACTGGTTGATGCATTGACTAACATTAGACTGTATAACAATGGAAAATACATGTGTTACAGTATTTATTAATCTTTATTTACATTAGTTAATAAAAATACAACTGTTCATTGTTAGTTCATGTTAGCTCAGGTTCATTAAATTATATTAACAGATACAACGTTTGATTTTTATAATGTATCGGTAAATGCTAAAATGAACATGAAGATTAATAAATGCGTTTGTTAATTTTTGCTTGTTATTTCATGTTAACTAATATAGTTAAGTAATGTTAACAAATAGAACCTTATTTTAAAGTGTTAACAATAATTCTATTTCAAATATTATTTGTTATTAAATATTGTGCTAATGTCATTATTATTATTATATCTTTTACTAGGTTAATTTTTAAGTGGCATTGAATCAGATTTTTAGGAAAAAGTTACTCTAGAAACTGAACATTTTTATTTAGATTTACTCACTTTATTGAATATTATGTCACAAAGCTATATTATTTTAAATTATTTAAATTCATTAAGTAAATCTTTTTTCTCTGAAAAATTTTTTCAGTGCTGAGACCAGCATATTATATAGAATCACAAACGTTTTTTTCCCCTGCTTTTTATCAAGGTGCCACAAAAAGGTTGTATGTATATACTATGGCACTGCTAATCAGAGATTTTAAAACAAAACACTTAAGCATTAGTATCACTTCGTTAAACTGTATGTGAGGTGATCACTTCTTACTTGGATAGCGAGAGGGAGGAGAACACAGCAGTACCGCTCCTTGTCCCTCCTTAACATGCACCGGCTCTCTCTCATCTGTAGGGAACTGGTTTAGGTCTACAGTCCGAAAAAGAAAGAGAGAAAAAAACTGAGGACACAATATGACAAAACAGATATCTGGAAACAATTTATAGTCTTTACAAATATAAGTCCTACTGTATCTGTCACATACATCCAAATTTGACAGTGGCCTCTTTGCTGATGACAGTGCCGTACACGTTCTTAGCCACACACACATATTTCCCAGCATGCTTGCTCTTGTCTGGGTTGGTGATGACCAGGTTTCCTCCCACCAGGCTAAAGTGCTCATCAGGTTGTTCCATCAGTTTAATTTCCCAGTTGTTTAACCACCATCTGTGAAATACAGCCTTTTATTAATGACCTTCTGATTTTCTCATTGCAAGTGCAAACAATTTGGTAAACACCTCCCTGCAATTCCCAGTACAGACAGAGGTAATGACAAACAATGCACAGGATCAGAAGCGGAAAAAATTACTTGATAATGGCCGGAGGGTTGGCCCGCGCTCTGCAGTTCATGGAGATTTTGTTCTCCGGTGAATCCTCTGCATACACTGTGTCCAATGGCTCTTCCTCAAATATGGGCCCAAAGCCTGTGGCCTCCTCTGATGGACATTACATGAGCCAGCATTATATTCAATTTACACAAAACTACCCAACTAACAACCCCAAAATTCAATGTGGTAACATACTGAGGTGAAAAACATCAATATTTCATTCTACGTAATTACTTATAGGTAAAAGTTAAAGACTTACTGTCAAAAATTCGGGGTTCAAAGATCCTGGGTTTAATTGCAGCTGGAAAATTAAAGAACAACTTTAATTTGACTTGATTTACTTGGACAGCCATTTTTATTGTGTGTTTTAGGAAAATACATAATATAGATATAATTTTTACAGGTTCACAATGAATTTTAATTTGGTATTACCTAAAGTAAGTCACACAAACATACACACATAATTTAAAGAAATAGTTCACTCAAAAATGAAAATGTGCTTAATATTTACTCACCCTCGGACTATCCAAGATGTAGATGAGTTTGTTTCTTCATTGAAACAGATTTGGAGAAATGTAGCATTACATCACTTGCTCACCAATGGATCATCTGCAGTGAATGGGTGCCGTCAGAATGAGAGTCCAAACAGCTAATAAAAACATCTCAATTCACAAGTAATCCACACGACTCCAGTCCCTCAATTAATGTCTTCTGAAGTGAAAAGTTGTGTTTGTAAAGAAACAAATCCATCATTACAGTGTTTTAAATTTAAACCATTGCTTCTGGCCAAAATACAAGTCCATAAACCATAAAAACGCTTCTTCCAGCGAAAAAGTCCATCCCCTGTTGTCCTCTCACATCAAAATCCACCGACATATTTGTTTAGAACTGTTTTGGACTGTTTTGGCTATTTCTCTCCTGATTCAGACGACAACTTTTTAAATGAATAAAGCAATATTATAGATATATGATTTTAGTCGGAAGCAACAATTTGAAATAAAAAACGTCTTGATGGATCTGTTTATTATAAACACACGGCTTTTTGCTTCACAGGACGTTATTTGATCATCATGATATGGATTATTGTGATTTGGATTATTGTTATTTTTATCAGCTGTTTGGACTCTCATTCTGATGGCACCCATTCACTGCGGAGGATCCACTGCTGAGCAAGTACAGGTGCATCTCAATAAATTAAAATAAAGACAATAAAGTCTTTGGTTCTTTTAATTGTGATGATTTTGGCTCACATTTAACAAAAACCCACCAATTCATTATCTCAACAAATTAGAATACTTCATAAGACCAATTAAAAAAACATTTTTAGTGAATTGTTGGCCTTCTGGAAAGTATGTTCATTTACTGTACATGTACTCAATACTTGGTAGGGGCTCCTTTTGCTTTAATTACTGCCTCAATTCGGCGTAGCATGGAGGTGATCAGTTTGTGGCACTGCTGAGGTGGTATGGAAGCCCAGGTTTCTTTGACAGTGGCCTTCAGCTCATCTGCATTTTTTGGTCTCTTGTTTCTCATTTTCCTCTTGACCATAGAAAATCTATGGGGTTCAGGTCTGGTGAGTTTTCTGGCCAGTCAAGCACACCAACACCATGGTCATTTAACCAACTTTTGGTACTTTTGGCAGTGTGGGCAGGTGCCAAATCCCGCTGGAAAATGAAATCAGCATCTTCAAAAAAACTGGTCAGCAGAAGGAAGCATGAAGTGCGCCAAAATTTCTTGGTAAACGGGTGCAGTGACATTGGTTTTCAAAAAACACAATGGACCAAAACCAGCAGATGACATTGCACCCCAAATCATCACAGACTGTCTTAACACTGGACTTCAAGCAACTTGGGCTATGAGCTTCTCAACCCTTCCTCCAGACTCTAGGACCTTGGTTTCCAAATGAAATACA